GCTAGAAGCATCTGCCGATAAAACCGATGCCGGTAGCGACAAAAACTGCGGGGAACTCTGCAAAAGCATCTTCGCACGGGCAGCCCGTGCGTTGGCCAATTATTTGGATACATCTTTAAGAATTTTACACTAGCCCATGGTATTTTTTCGAACACAACCATTTTAGAATGACAGCCTGGATCCTTTTGAATTCGCCAATGGGTCTGGCTGACAGAAATTCTTGGGTTATATGGTTATTATCCTTACACACTCATTTTGCTTCTCCTACCTAATGCCTTCCGAAAACCCTGCCTAAGGGAGTGTTATAGCACTAAGTATTAGCGATTCTGCGACAACTGCTCTGACTTTCGGGCCTCCAAAGCTATCGGGAAGAATCATCATGGCGCTAAAGCTTGGTATTTTTCAGGATTACTTATCTGTTTTAACTGCCTGATACTCCACCGTTTGTCACTGATATTTGCTTACCTGCAGTCCTTTTTAGTGTTTTTCTAGTGCAAATGTTAGTACAGGATGTTTTATGTAATACGTTCGTGGTTGTCTTGCAATGGCAGTTAGGTTTGCAGGTCAAAAATCGTTTATCGAAATGCAGGGCTCGCACGGGAAACGATATTACGAAATACCGAGCAGGTAATATTTATTCGCCTATGTTAATTAGACGATATCTTAGAATCAGCGTTGGTAAGAGAGAAAAGAAACGACCAGATATACTAAGTATACTGAACTATCCGAGCATTATTTTGGGTATTACATGCTAGTTATGCTTTTTATGCGTTTTTGCATATGTGTAAATTGCAAAAACGCATATTGGGAAGAGGCTGTCCGTGTATGTGTGCGTGTGTGTGTGTGTGTGTGTGTGTGTGTCGGTGTCTGTGTGTTCGCACTTTTTGTCACCCACTTTCAACTCGGGACCCAGAAAAGCTGGAAGGCTGAAACTTTGGAGTTATGTGCCTATACCATGCGCGACCCTCCCGCTTTACTTTCATCCTCCGTGGACACCTGGATGCCGCGTACAGACGTTTTAAAAAAATATGCAAATTTTTTGGCGGGGAAACGATCTCGGGAACCACGTGAGCTAAGGGGCTGAAAATTTGTGGGGATATTCCCTGTGCATGTGATAGCTAAAGATTTCAAATTCAGCCCCTGGTTTTGCATGGTACGTAAGGGCGTATGAAAGTTTTAGGGGGAAAATTGCTAACTCGGGTACCAGGAAAGCTAGAAGGCTGAAATTTTGGAGGAATGTCCCCTATCGAAGTATAACTCAAATATTTCAAATTCAACCCCCAACTATGCATGGTACTCACATAAGGGCGTATGAAGGTTTCCGCAGGAAAATTACTAACTCAGCAACCAGAAGGGCTGGAAGGCTGAAATTTTAGGGTGATGTTCCCTGTCCACGTGCAATTTAAAAATTTCAAATTCAACTTTCCAGGTATGTAAGGTATCCACTCACGGGCATGTAAAATTTTTGGCTAAAAGCTTCAAATTCAGCTTCCAGGTATGCATGGTACTCACGCAAGGGCGTTTGAAAGTTCTAGTTGCGAGAATTGCTAACTCGGCATCCAGAAAAGCTGGAAGGCTGAAATTTTGGGAGAATATTCCCTGTCCAAGTACAATTCAAATATTTCAAATTCAGCCCCAGCCTATGCGAGATACTTACGTAAGGACTTATGAAAGTCCCTACGAGAAAATTACTAACTCGGCAACTAGAAAAACTGGAAGGCTGAAACTTTAGGGAGATGTCCCCTGTCCAAATGCAACTTAAGTGCTTCAAATTCAGCCTTGAGTTGCGCGTGGACACTTAAAATTTTGGCTGAGC